GACATCCTAGTCTACAGCAAAACGCTGGAGGATCACGAGAAACACTTGCGTCTCGTCTTGGGTAAGCTACGCGAAGGTAATTTTAAACTTAACCCGAAGAAGTCTGAGTTTGCAAAACCTGAAGTGCTCTACTTAGGGCATATAGTTAACGAAGAAGGACTCAGACCGGAAGCGAAGAAAATTTCAGCGATTAGAGATTGGCCACAACCAAAGTCCATCACTGAGTTGAGGTCTTTCCTTGGGTTAGCCAGTTACTATAGGAAGTTTGTTAAGAACTTCTCCTTAGTTGCTGCTCCCATGAGAAGACTCCTGAAGAAAGGAACCATATGGTTGTGGGACAAGGATTGTGAGTCATCAATGAAGAAGTTAAAATATGCACTGACTCACTACCTTGTTATGAAAATCGTTGATCCATCTCTTCCCTTTATTGTGACCACTGGCGCAAGTCAGTATGGAATTGGCGTAGTTCTACAGCAGGACGATGGTAAGGGTTACAAACCTATTGAGTTCATGTCTGCCAGACTTCCGACTCAGAAGGTCTCCGACTCCACTTACGAAAGGGAATTGTATGCGCTTGTCTGTGCACTGAAATCCTGGAAACACTACTTGTTAGGGAGACACTTCACTGTCTACTCAGATCACTCGACACTGAAGTGGATAAAGACTCAACCAAGACTCTCTGACAAACTAGTACGATGGTCTGCTTTCCTCGACACCTTTGACTTTGAATTGAAGACAATCAAAGGTAAGTCTAACGTTGTGGCAGATGCATTGTCTAGGAGAAGTGATTTCTTTGGAACCATTGTTTCTTACTTGGATATAGGAAATGATGTGCAGGAACAGATTCGACAAGGCTATGCTAATGATCCTATCTGGAAACCCATCATTGACCTTGTCACTAAGGATCCTGCCCTATTACCCAAGTATAAGATAACAAATGGATTGTTTTTCTTGATAGATGAAACTGAACAACGGTTGTGTATTCCTCATAAAGAAGAAATTAAAAGTCTGCTGATTGGGGAATGCCATGACTTTGCAGGACATTTTGGGTTCAAGAAAACTTATGCAGAAGTAAGAGAACGCTTCGATTGGAAAGGACTAAAGGAAGATGTATTAATTTATGTGCGTACTTGTCTGGTATGTCAGAGAAACAAACCACCACATGAGAACCCTCTGGGTCTACTAAGGCCCTTACCGATTCCCAGCGAACCAGGTGAGTCTATCTCCATAGACTTCATGAGTCTCGTCAAGAGTCGAAATGGCAATAGTCAAGTGATGGTTGTAGTCGATCGTTTCTCTAAGTATGCAATGTTTATTCCTTTGTCTGCTGAAGCGAAAATTGAGCTTGTGATTCAGAAGTTTCAGATGCGATGGGTAACTGAGTATGGATTCCCATTGTCCATTGTATCTGACAAGGATGTGAGGTTCACAAGTATGCCATGGCAAAAGCTGATGGAGGCATACGACACTCGTTTGACCATGTCGTCAGGACGCCATCCTGAAACGAATGGGCAAAGCGAGCAAATGAACCGCTTGTGCCAACAACTCTTGCGCATGTATGTCAGGCCCGATCAGATTGATTGGGACGAGAACTTACCAAAAATAGCTAGTGCATACAACAGCAGCATCCACACTGCAACCGGACGCACTCCTAACGCACTACATAAAGGATGGAAGCCGCGACGTCCCATTGATATATTAACCAGGGACCAATTTTTACGGCTACCGCCAGGAACCCGTGAATATGCAGTTCTGTTCCAGGAAGACATCCAAAAAGTTAAGGAGAACCTAAAGAAAGCACAAGAACAGATGATTAACCAGGCCAACAAACATCGAAAGACCTGCTCACTTTCAAGTAGGTGACATGGTTTGGGTAAAGTCTAATGAGTTCTCCTTGGAAGAAGATGTTTCACAAAAATTGCTGCCTGTCTACTTTGGGCCCTGGGAAGTTCTCAAAGTAATTGGAGATGCAGAGGGACCGTCCTACAGAATTGATATTCCCCCGCATCTCAAAACCTACCGTGTATTCCATGCCTCTAAGTTGCTACCGTATGTGGAGGGAGATGAGTTTCCCAACAGGCCTTCTATGATTCCACCTTCAATGGACGAAAATTATGAAGTAGATCGGATTGTAGACCATGGGTTCTTCTCCGCCGGAAGGCGTGGACGACCGCAGAAGCAGTTCAAGGTAAGATTTAAGACTCAAAAACCATCCGAGGATCGGTGGTTCAGCAAACAACAGCTCCTTGAAACTGCTCCTGACATTGTCTCTGCATATGAGCGTGGGTTGAAAGGTTAATTATTTCTGCGATGGAACTCGAAATTGGGTCGGCAGGAATGCGGTAACCCGCACTCAGCAGAGGTCGGGCTGTGTGACCACGCACTGCCCGGCCCAGCCCAGCGTTGGCCAGTGAGACCCAACGCTGGACTGGGGAAATCCAAAGGTCAAAGTCAACTGTCGAGTCGCAGATACCGTACCCAAGTCCAGGAACAGATACACACATGTGTTTGTATGCAGGTACCAGGCCAAGACATCGGACCAAGGGAGAATCGGTGACAGACCGATCCAGGCCGTCGCAGCATCAAGATCTTGACGGCACAGGACCGCTGCACCGGGGCATTGACCCCGAGTCAACACTACTTAAGGTGGACTCCTGGCTTTGACATCATTCATTCTGTCGCGAGTCAAGGCTGACTCTACTTTGACGCAACGCTGGCTTGTGAGGTGCTGGCTAATTGCTGGCTGGACGCTGGCGCTCCTCAGCGGCGACATGCTGCTTGCTTGCTGGCATGGGGGCTGGCTTGCTCTTGTCTACAAGGTGCTGACGTGGCAGCGCCACGTGTCGYTGCTGACGTGGCTGCTGCCACGTAGGGTGTTGGTGRCGTGGCTGTACCACGTGTTCATTCGCTGTTCAGACTTTCGTCGTCCGGAAGGAGATSAGGRACTGTGGGGATGAGATGACACGTACCYGTRTGAGGYGACATTGCTGCTCYGTTGATGAAGAGAATGCTGRTGTGCCWCGTGGCACTTTGAGGAACTCGGATCTGTATCTGGAATGACGTTGTTGGAGAGGGGGCRAATCTGTCTGGCCTGAAGAAGAAGTGGGCTTCTTCTTCTTCTTCTTCTACTTCCCCCCTCTCTCTTTCTTGTCTATGTATGTATATACTCGGTTACGGGAACAGATCAGTTCGACATTATTCATCAACAAGA